TTATGGTGAGATAACCATCTTCTTTTACTTACATCTATAAGTGAGCTTCTGCTAAATCAGTTTTCCTAAATCTCTGCCCCCTCCTAATGTGGAAAAAATATTGTCACTTTGAGGTAGCAGATATTTCTCAACTTTCAGTAAAGGATTTATAAAGCCTTGAGGTCTCTTACTGGGCCCTTTTAATTTTAAATTGGAGCTATAGGCATGCTCACTCACTCCAGGCTACTTTTGAAAGAATGCCTTCTCTTTCTAGGCAGTTCAGTTTCCCATCTAACTTGGCATGATGGCCATAAGGAACTGGCCAAGCATTGTGAAACTTGGCCTGGGCATTTTCATGTATCATTATCTTAGCTTTGATGTGTTTTAAAGTTCCTGTGCCTTCGTTGAATACTTCAGAGGCTTGGTTTAATCGCTTATCATTGTTATTTAACTGTTTCTGCAGGGACTTTTGAAAGTGCCTGAAGCACCTTTACACAAATCCAGTCCAGGAGAATTTCTTTTAACCATTCATGACTTCACAGAATGGGTCCCCCTTTTTCAGTGATTTATAAGTCTAAGAGGTGTGGTTTATGATTATATTCTGTGGGCCCTGACATCACCCCATTGGCAAAATCTTCTCTCCTGTGTGTTTTTCACAACAACAGGGTCTCCTTTAATTTCATAATTTTAAGGTATTTTTATATATTCAGTCTGTGAGATAACATACTGCAGAGCCTGTATCCAGCTCCATTTTAAGGGGTTTCCTAGCAAACTAGAGTGTCAGCCAGATGGCTCATTTATCACCCTTGTTCACATTATATAAGCCCAGACTAGCTACTCCCTTCTCACTGTCTATTACATATCTATTACATATACCTTTTTATTCCCCTTTCTATACCACACTCTCTTCTTTATTTCTCTTACCATAGCACATACCCAGTCCTGGGTATGACATTAAACTGCATCCAGCAGTGGGACAGTTTTAACTGTTAGGGTAATAGTGAGATAAGTACCCTCTAGCCACTGCAGTCTCTGGGACACCCTTAGGCAAGCGTTGCATCAGCCTCCCTTACCAGGGTTATGGTTGAAGCTATTGGGGGTGCAGAACGGTGGATCATCTCATTTGGTGGATGTCTGGTGCAACTAGGAAAACAATAGAGGACACTTGCTTAGGTTAGCTGAGCTCAGCAACCTGCAGCAAGAAGTGGCAACCTACTGCAGTAGTTTGCCATGCATAATCCATGGTCTTTCAAAAATTAAGAAATCACACAATGGCGTGAAAGGGGTCCCTGACAGAAAAGGTGAGGACACCTCACCCAGTAAGGATAGTTTTGTGTGACAGTTTACTCCTGACCGTCAGCATGCTACTATCCACACTCAGAAGAGAGCAGTCAAAGTAGCAATGTGGAATGTGAGTACTCTACATCAAATTGGGAAACTGGATAATGTCAAGCATGAAATGAACAGATTAAAGATAAATATTCTAGGTGTGTGCAAAATATATTGGAGAGAGGCTGGAATTATTGTTTCAAAAGTAAAGATCATTTATTCAGGAGGTGAGATGCACAAAAAAGGAGCTGGGTTGATTTTGGATGAAGGAGCCTCAAAAAGTTTTCATGGTTTTTGGGCAATATCTGATAGATTGATGCTTGTGAAAATAAAAGCTAAACCTTTCACCATTGCAATAATACAAGTTTATTCACCGACAGCTGAGAGTGGGACATTGAGAGGGAAGAGGACATTGGTCATTTCTATGAAGACCTTGCTAAAATGAAAAATCAATGCAAACCTCAAGAAGTGGTTATAATGTTGGGAGATCTAAAAAAGCTGGTTGTGAGTGAGTGGATAATATTGTTGGACCTCATGGACTTGGTGAAAAAGATGAAAGAGGAAAGGGATGGTGTGGCAGAGCACTGTTGGTGCTTGATTGAGGCAGCCATTTTAGATCCATGGCTGCCTATATAAACAGGGCAGTTTGCTGCTGGCAGGGAAGGCAGTAACATTGCCTAGCTGCGAGGTGACTTGGAACATCCTGGAGGTAAAGGCAGGAGCTGTAGGGGATGGTTTGGAGGCTCCTGGGCCTGGGCATGACCTAAAACTACACCCTGCCAGGAGTGGGTGGCCTGGTGGGGCTCTCAGTGGTGTGGGAAACCCCAGGAAATGCCAGGACAGTGATCACCCCGGTGAAAGGCGAGGAGGGGCACCTTAACCCCAGCCCTCACCTTCAGGTGGGCTATATTACATCAGAGCAGGGTAGGCTGGGTAAGCTTCTGGAGGCACCTGAGCCTGCTGGGAGAGTGACCCCACAGGGCCAGGCATGCTTCCAGGAGCACCTGAGCTGGTAATGGGACCCCCAGTCCCTGAGGCAGGCAGGAGGTGAAAACCCCACTGAGGTACTCAACTGGTCAATGCTGGGGCCAGGACCAAAGGGTCAAAAGGGCCAGGAGCCCACCATGATGGATGCCCATGAAGAGCGAAGAAGCTTGGGGTCCTGACTGGGCCTGAGATGGGGCCAGGGCTTACGGAAGCTGAAGGTCCCTGGGGTTGGGGGCCACAGCTAATGGTCGAAGGTGATGATTAAACTAACCACCTGAGATGCCATTTGCGAGGCTTGGGCCATGGTGTAGTTTCATAGTTTCTAGGGTCAGAAGGGACCTGAGCAGTTCATCTAGTCTGACCCCCTGCCATGGCAGGAAGAGCACTGGGGTCAAACGACCCCAGTAAGGTGGTCATCCAACCTCCTCTTAAAACCCCCAGGGTGAGAGCCTGTACCACCTCACTTGGAAGCTGGTTCCAGACCCTAGCCGCCCTGACCGTGAAGTAGTGCCTCCTGATGTCCAACTTAAACCTTCCCTCCGCCAGCTTGTGA